GCGTGCGTGCGTGCGTGCGTGCGTGCGCGTGCGTGCGTCGGCGTGCGTACGTGCGTGGTACGTGGTGTGTGTGTGTGTGTGTGTGTCTGTGTGTGTGTGTGTGCTGTGTGTGTGGTGTGTGTGTGTGTGTGTGGTGTGTGTATGTGTGTGTGTGCAAGATTTGCTATTAAATTAAATCGTTGTCGAACGGATTAATACCAAGCCACTCCAATTCGTATCTGTGAAATGAATAAATAGTCCTTTTGTATCATGGTTCTCCAGTTGCCCATGGAATACTGGCTTACGAACGGTTACGCTCAGTGGTTTGGAGGAAAAGACAGGGGCAAGGCAATGCGCGATTATGGGAACGTGCTTGTAAAGCAACCGACCCGTACAATACCAATTACACTGTCCTCAAATGTAAGTATTTGCGTGGATATCTGTAACATATGATATACCTGTGTTATAACTAACCTCGGACTTCTCTGTAGTAATATAAGCCTGTACTGGGCAGGACATGGCTGCAGCGATCTACTGATGTCCAGCGTTGATAACTACATGCCCTGTGCATTTTGTTGCATTTCTTCCTAATTACGCCGCAGTATATAATAGCTAATTAATATAATGAGTTAAAGCATATATAATAATAATATTAATAATAATATAATAATTAAGCTAATAGTATATAATTACGCCGCCGTAATATAATATGCTAAAGCGCGTAAACCATCTCTTTCAAATTTCGCAACGCAGCGCTCGACTCAGATCAACAGCAACCTGTGGGCCACGCATTAACGTACGCACGTACGCGTTACGTATATTGTACTAGTGTAACACACATTTAAATCATGATTCTCACCGAGGCATCAGATGTCGAGCGTTCTAAGTACCATTTTTACAGTGAAGATCCTTCTGGCGCTAGGGTTGACGTACGGTTCACGATTGATGTACGCAGCCTTCTCAGTAAAAACGGACGTCCGCATTCTCGACTAATTACAAAGAAGCACTTCCGATTTCAAAGAGGTGCGGAGCAGTTTACGAACGATTGGTAGGTATTCATTCACGCATCGGTAATATAACAGAAAATATAGCCTATATTAGGTATAATGTAATATATCAACATAGCATGATATCGCGCATGTGTGCGCGCGTGCGGTGCGTACGTGTGCGTGCGCGTGCCTGTGCAATGCCTTCGAATTCGTGCGTATGAAAATTATAGCGATATTATAATATGTAATGTGAATATACCTCGCGTGGAGGCCTAAAGATCTATCGAATAGACACTATTTATATACAGGAAATATCGCGGCTATAAATACGAGAAAGATCAGTGCGGTGCTGCTGTGTTGATTATTGCGGAGAGTAACTCAGGCTTGTGTTTTCCAGTTGGCTGAGATGCCGGCAACTAGCTGGAGGGTTTCAGTTCAGCGCCACGTGTCAATAGCACCACTGGTTCGGCAGAAGGTGCGCATGCGCATAAATAACTACAAATTTAATTAATAATCAAATAAATTCTTTAATAAAATTATTAATAAAATTTTTAATATATACGTCTTTTATTAGACTAATACTACCAGGAGTAAGATAATATAGGTTAATAATAACATAGTATAAATAGGTAAGTAAGTAATGCTAGATAAGTTAATAAATAACATAATATAATAATATAGGTTTATAATAATAGATAATAATATACTTATTATCTTACTCCTGAATACTACTAGTACTACTACTAATATATAATACTACTTAATTATTACACAAACTTAAATTAATAATAATTTATATAGTTAAATAAAAAGTTGAGAGTTTTTAAGTTTAATTATAATAATATAATAATTATAAGTATAAGTATAATTATAATTCAATAATTTTAATATAATATATTAGTGTTTTATTTATTAGTTAATAAATAAGTTAATAGTTATTTAATTATTAAATAATTAATGAAATAAATTCATTTATATTATTACGCGTCTACATACAGCAGTAAGCATTGATTAGGGTTGCATGTGAATATTGTTAATGTGTAAAGCGATCTTCATTAATTTGTACACAATGATTAATCTGCCTGTTGTTTTCTATATCTCGGCAGCTTCTGCTTCTGAATCCAGCTTTCGATTTAATGTGAGCGCGTAACACGGTGCTTGGAATAAAAATCGACGTCTTCGTATGTTTACAGAGCTTACTGTCGACACTCGGCACTCACTAGGCATAATAATAGGATTGAGCTGCGCGGCTCTTTTTCTTATACTAGGGAACGCAGAAGTATTATCGTTGGTTCTGCTAGCAACAGCAATCGTGCGACTTGGTCGGCCGTTAGACGGGGGTCACGGTCGTGCCGATCCGATAGCAGGGATGAGGTTGGGTAAGTGTGTCCAACTATGGTGTGTGTGTGGGGGCGCGCGCACGTGCGTGCGTGGTCGTGCGTGCGTGGCTTACGTGCGGGTTTGTGTGTGTGTGGTGTGCGTCTCAATTGGTGAGAGAAGTCGTCGAATTGTGTACGGGGCGCGCCAAATGT